TGAGTGTCATAGCAACCAAAGAGCCAATCAGGAGCCAGGAGCCTTCACTTAGCAACACTGTCAATCAAACCTGTTACTAACGCCCGTGGGAGGGGTCTCGGGGAAAGATGGCGTCTGATTGGTCTGTTTTAAAGTTCAGATGAGTGAGGACCTGACGTGACCTGAGTTGTTTTTCTGAGGTTGTGGGTTAGACTCCAGGTGTTGTTGTTGTTTTTGTTGTGTGTTTTTTTTTGTCGTTCTTTATTGCAGCGTCACATTCACACGTTACAGACTCAGACTCGACCCTTTGAAAATCAAGAGCCCAGAGTCAAAAAAAAAAAACAAAACAAAAAAACTAAACAAAACAGAACAGAACTCAGAATATTTGACACAAACTTTTGACACAAACCCCCGAAAAAACATGAAGTGTGAGAAATACACGACTGGTCCACACAAGTCTGTTTAGCACCAAAAACACAACCTGGAACCGGCCATTTAAACACAGTAGGGAGTATTATACCTGTGTGGGGTGTTTAGGAGGGAGTATTATACCTGTGTGGGGTGTTTAGTAGGGAGTATTATACCTGTGTGGGGTGTTCAGTAGGGAGTATTATACCTGTGTGGGCTTTTTTCTGTCACACGTCACATCTTTAAATCTCCATGTTCATTTTGTTGTTTTAAAAATGTTTTTTTAAACATATTTATTCAGATGTTTTTTACGCTTCAGTCTTCAGTCTCTTCTCTCTTTGCTCCTTGTGCTGACCCCGTCCCCCTTCAGAGCGCCACTGCCAGTGCTGGGAAAGTTCATTTTCTACATGAACTCGTTGAAGGTTCAGTCTCAAGTTTCAGATTCAGAAGAGTTTAGAGTGAATCGTTCATTCATAGTTCCAAAAATGAAACTAGTTCATTGTTCTTTTTATGTTTTTTCAGTAAGTTGCTGTGAGTGATTCTTTTTCAGGATTATTATTTTCAGAGTTTGAGTTTGAGCTTCTTCTCTTTAATATTCACATGATGAATCTTCGTTCTTGTTGTTGTTGTTGTGTTTGTGTTTGTGGGCGAGTTTTGTCGTCAAATGAAATGTTTTTGCATTAAATGTGGCGTCTCTGTTTCTTTACGATCAGTTTAACCGAGTTTTACCTGAAACACTAAAGAAATCTGAAGAAAGTGAAACAGAAGCTCAGGTCGTTGAGACTCCAGGATGAAGGAGCTCACAGGTCTCCAGTTCTGTCAACAGTTTTGTGTTTTTGTGTTTCTGGAGGATTGTGTGTGTGAGCCTGGGGGGGCGGAGCCTCGTACAGACTCGTGCTGCTGATAACTGTAAGGAGGGTTTGAATAGGGCCCAGGAGAGATCACTAGATAACTCAAACATGCACGGATGAGTCTAGAACATCTTCAGACGTGTTTGTGAGGAACATTTAGAACCTGAGACACTGAGACAGAAACTCATCAACCCTGAACGAGTCCAGACGAGTCCAGATCTGTGACCGAAAACCAAAAAACTAATAAACACAAAACACACAAAACAAAACACACAAAACACACAAAGATCTTTGGCTTTGCACAAAAATAAACATCTATTGATTTTTACAAACGAAATCCAGGTTCACACAAGACATTTTCACACACATCAGAACAAAAAAAATACAACAACACTTTGGTAAGACTGAACTGTGTCCCTGATCCAACCTGCGGACGCCCGGACGCCCGGACGCCCGGACGCCCGGACGCCCGGACGCCCGGACGCCCGGACGCCCGGACGCCCGGACGCCCGGACGCCCGGACGCCCGGACGCCCGGACGCCCATGTGTCATGTGATGAGGTGAAAAACATTTTTAGATTTGTTTTTTGTCGATTTCTTGTAAAACATCAGAAAATGTCCAAATATCTCGACTCCGTCTGAGAAAAGTCCGTACATGAAGTGTCTCTCCGGCCTGTACAGCGCCCCCTGCAGGCAGCAGCACAGCCCCCCCTAGTGGTTGTGGCCTGTGGGCGTGGCCGGCTCTACCTGTGAGAGATCTGATTGGTCAAGAGTCCAGGGAACATGTCCACAAAGTCCGAGCTCAGAGATCCACCTGTCAATCAAAAACACACACAATTAAATCAGCTCCTGCCTGCTCCTGTCTGCTCCTGTCTGCTCCTGTCAGCTCCTGTCTCCTGTCAGCTCCTGTCAGCTCCTGCCTGCTCCCTGTCAGCTCCTGTCAGCTCCTGTCAGCTCCTGCTGCTCCTGTCTGCTCCTGTCAGCTCCTGTCAGCTCCTCCTGTCCTGCTCCTGTCAGCTCCTGTCAGCTCCTGTCAGCTCCTGTCTGCTCCTGTCTGCTCCTGTCTGCTCCTGTCTGCTCCTGTCAGCTCCTGCCTGCTCCTGTCTGCTCCTGTCAGCTCCTGTCAGCTCCTGCCTGCTCCTGTCAGCTCCTGTCAGCTCCTGTCTCAGCTCCTGTCTGCTCCTGTCAGCTCCTGTCAGCTCCTGTCAGCTCCTGCCTGCTCCTGTCAGCTCCTGCCTGCTCCTGTCAGCTCCTGCCTGCTCCTGTCTGCTCCTGTCTGCTCCTGTCAGCTCCTGTCTGCTCCTGTCCAGCTCCTGTCAGCTCCTGCCTGCTCCTGTCAGCTCCTGCCTGCTCCTGTCAGCTCCTGTCAGCTCCTGCCTGCTCCTGTCAGCTCCTGCCTGCTCCTGTCAGCCTGTGTGTGTTTTCTCTCTCGTGTTTTTGAGTGTGTTTTTTTCTAAATGTGTGTGTGTCTCTGCAGGTGTGTGTGTGTGTGTCTCTGCAGGTGTGTGTGTGTCTCTGCAGGTGTGTGTGTGTGTGTGTGTCTCTGCAGGTGTGTGTGTGTCTCTGCAGGTGTGTGTGTGTGTGTGTCTCTGCAGGTGTGTGTGTTTGTCTCTGCAGGTGTGTGTGTGTGTGTGTCTCTGCAGGTGTGTGTGTGTGTCTCTGCAGGTGTGTGTGTGTCTCTGCAGGTGTGTGTGTTGTCTCTGCAGTGTGTGTGTGTTGCAGGTGTGTGTGTGTGTGTGTATGTCTCTGCAGGTGTGTGTGTGTGTCTCTGCAGGTGTGTGTGTGTCTCTGCAGGTGTGTGTGTGTGTGTGTTTGTCTCTGCAGGTGTGTGTGTGTGTCTCTGCAGGTGTGTGTGTGTGTCTCTGCTGTGTGTGTGTCTCTGCAGGTGTGTGTGTGTCTCTGCAGGTGTGTGTTTGTCTCTGCAGGTGTGTGTGTGTGTGTGTTTGTCTCTGCAGGTGTGTGTGTGTGTCTCTGCAGGTGTGTGTGTGTGTCTCTGCAGGTGTGTTGTGTGTGTCTCTGCAGGTGTGTGTGTGTGTCTCTGCAGGTGTGTGTTTGTCTCTGCAGGTGTGTGTGTGTGTCTCTGCAGGTGTGTGTGTGTGTGTCTCTGCAGGTGTGTGTGTGTGTGTCTCTGCAGGTGTGTGTGTGTCTCTGCAGGTGTGTGTTTGTCTCTGCAGGTGTGTGTGTGTGTGTCTCTGCAGGTGTGTGTGTGTGTGTGTCTCTGCAGGTGTGTGTGTGTCTCTGCAGGTGTGTGTGTGTGTGTGTGTGTTGTCTCTGCAGGTGTGTGTGTGTCTCTGCAGGTGGTGTGTGTTTGTCTCTGCAGGTGTGTGTGTGTTTGTCTCTGCAGGTGTGTGTGTGTTTGTCTCTGCAGGTGTGTGTCTCTGCAGGTGTGTGTTTGTCTCTGCAGGTGTGTGTGTGTTTTGACCCTTTCACATGTGTGTGATTTTTTAAGGGTTGTGAAGTTTCCTCAGGACGAGTGTCGTGTTCAGATTTGCTGCTGCGGCGCCGATTTTATCTCCTAATTTTTCCATCGACTGTTTCAAAAAACAAAAGACTCTCCGTTTTTATGTTTTAAAAATGTTGAAATTGCAGTTTTGTTTTTATAAAGTTCAGTTTTGTAAATGTTTGTGTTAATTTATTCATTTTTTCAAAATAAAAAGAGTTTTGTTGTTGAACAGTCGGGTGTGATTCTCTTTGTGTCCACAGGGGGCGGCAGAACGTCACTGAACTCAAACACTTTTACATTTGTCTCACATTTTTATTTTCTAAAAAAAAAAACAACTGATGGTCTGAAGCTCGTGGACGTGCGACGCTAACGGAGGCACTGCTCTGTCTGACCTGAGTGACCTGAGTGACCCGAGAGACCTAGGAGACCTGAGAGACCTAGGAGACCTGAGTGACCTGAGAGACCTAGGAGACCTGAGCGACCTGAGTGACCTGAGTGACCCGAGAGACCTGAGTGACCCGAGAGACCTAGGAGACCTGAGAGACCCGAGTGTTACGTGTGTGTGTGTTACATGTGTGTGTGTGTCTCTGTGTGTGTTACGTGTGTGTGTTACCTGCATGTGTGTTACCTGTGTGTGTGTGTTACATGTGTGTTACATGTGTGTGTGTGTTACCTGTGTGTGTGTGTGTGTGTGTTACATGTGTGTGTTACATGTGTGTGTGTTTCTGTGCGTGTTACATGTGTGTGTTACCTGTGTGTGTGTGTTACATGTGTGTTACATGTGTGTTGTGTGTCTCTGTGTGTTACGTGTGTGTCTCTGTGTGTGTTACATGTGTGTGTGTTACATGCGTGTGTGTTACCTGTGTGTGTGTGTGTGTTACGTGTGTGTGTTACGTGTGTGTGTGTGTTTCTGTGTGTGTTACATGTGTGCGTGTTACATGTGTGTGTGTTACATGTGTGTGTGTTACATGTGTGTTACATGTGTGTTGTGTGTCTCTGTGTGTGTTACATGTGTGTGTGTTACATGCGTGTGTGTGTTACATGCGTGTGTTACCTGTGTGTGTGTGTGTGTTACGTGTGTGTGTGTGTGTTATACATGTGTGTTGTGTGTCTCTGTGTGTTACGTGTGTGTGTGTCTCTGTGTGTGTTACATGTGTGTATGTGTCTGTGTGTGTGTTACATGTGTGTGTGTTACGTGTGTGTGTGTTACATGTGTGTGTGTGTTACATGTGTGTGTGTTACGTGTGTGTGTTACCTGTGTGTGTGTTACATGTGTGTTACATGTGTGTTGTGTGTCTCTGTGTGTTACATGTGTGTGTA